TCAGAATTTTCATTGCTGGGATTAGATCAGGTCCAGATTGGTTTTTCATTTTTAAATTATTAAGATGTTCGTTAACGACACTAACAGGCACAGGTCTAAAATGGAACTTCTCTAAATGAGGATTTTGAAGATTTGGCAGGGCCTGATCTTTATTTGCAGTCTGAGAATGAGTGTCATTGTTATCTTAGCAACCAGGGGGGTAGCACACCCAACAAAATAATTATTAAAGGCGTTCGCTACATCTAGGGGGTGTTGCAGTGTTTGGTTGTCCATTTTGACAGTGGAGGGTTGGGAGTGGATTGTGGGGGTTTGTATGCTATTTATGATTTTCCAGACGTTTCTTGGGTTTGATAGATTGTTTAAATTTTCACTGAAATATTGGGCCTTTGCCATTTTTGTTTGTTTTGTGCATATATTTCCCCAATGTCTGTAGGCACAGTAATCATTCATGGAGCCAGTACGCTTGGTACGTTTGAATGAGGTCAGCAGTAACCCAGGGCAGGTGTGTCCCTTTTAGTCGCACTTTACGCAGAGGGGCATGCAAATTCCAAACACGCAAGAGCTCGGCCTGGAAAAATGCAATTGCAGAGTCTAGATCTGGTATTAGACCGGCCAGGGATAAGTCTCTCCTCAATGTAAGACACATAAAAACCCACTTAACATTTTAAAAAGAAAGCAACTAAAAGACTCTCAGACTGTTAGAAATATGTTTCTCCGCTTTGATAAAATGAAGATTGAATTGTTTGGTCTCACTTCAAAGCATCATGTCTGGTAGAATCCAGGCACCTCCCACCACTAGCCCAATATCATCCCAACTGTGAAATGTGCTGGTGGTTGAGTTATGTTTTGGGAGTGTTAAGAGAAAGCTGAACGCAGTGAAATACAGCGATTTCATAAATGAAAATCTGGTCCAGAGATCTCAGGAGCTCAGACTGGACTGAAGGTTCACTTTCCATAAGGACAGTGACCCTAAACTCAGACCACACAATGCAAGAGAGGCTTACGAATAACTCTATTAATGTCCTTGAGTGGTCCAGCCACAGTCTGGACTTGAACCCAACTGAACATTGTTGGAGAGACCTGATAATGTCTGTCCACCGGTCGTCTCCATCCAACTGAAAAGAGTTTGAGTGGATCTGCAGAGTTGAATGGCAGAAATAAATATTTAATATTTTTTTTGCTGTTTAAAATTTTTGTAATGGTGTCAAAATCTGTTTTTTTTTTTAATTTGTCATTATGGGGTATTGAGTTTAAGTTAGTGTGAAGAAGATTTGTTTTAACAAATAATTGTAGCTTCAGGCTGCAACATAAAAACATGAAGGGGTCTGAATTCCTTCTGTCTATAGATAAATGTATGTGTAGTGCAGAATACAATTACCAAACATCATAAAGACCAATGCTCCCTTCATAGGTTACAGTGCAAGATGGTGCCTTTGCCATGTCTCCATGCCCCAACCTTCTTTAGCAGACACCTTCAACACTTATGGCAGAATCTGATAGCTAATGTCAAAAATCTGTGATTGAGCTGTCAACAAGCTGATAGCAGCTATGGTGCAATTGCTATCAGCTTAGGAAGCAGTTCTATTAATGTTATCTGTAAAATCGAATATTCAATGTTCATCTACACATGAGTTCCTGCTTGCCAGACGTTTATGGGATAAGCTTAGCTCATTAAAATCAAGATTGGCTGAGGTGCCTTCTGGTTCGGTGAGAGCTCAATGCAGAAGCTAAAAATCCTTCAAATTTACAGCATAATATTTTTCATTTGACTTTTTTAGTGTATATATAGAATTTTATTATATTTAGATGACAATGACTGCCAACCCATAACCTCTCTCATTCCCTGTGCATGACACATTAGACACCTGGTGCTTCATATCGATACAGCTCATTTAACATTTCAAAGCTTTTGTAAAGCTTGGTACCCTCACCTTGACTTTAGAGCTTCATGGGAACCTAGTTAACATATCTGACGTGCCACGGGTTCATTATTACTGGTTTCCAGGATGGGTTTGCACATAACTTCATATATATTTATTATTTTCAGTTCCGCTGGAAAATTCCATTTATTTGATAAATTTCCAGGTTTGGGAGCATTGTCGATGATGTGCGTGTGATATTTGAAGATTTTTGATGCTTGAAGCCACAGGCCTGTTATTTTTATGCTTGAGTTGCGCTTTCAATCCTGACATTCTTCTCTTCCCATGTCTAGTTTGTTGGACAGCCCAAGCAAACTGGACGAGGAACATCGGCTGATTGCCCGATACGCAGCTCGATTAGCCGCAGAAGCTGGGAACTCAGTAAGTAGATTTGCCGTCCTTTCCAGTTTTTATGTAATGTATAGAAGACTTTTATCTCCTAGCCTCGTGGTCAGGTTACTTTCACATACAAAGGATTTCCTTGATACTGTCGTATGGGAGATCAAGTTGAGACCAGCTGCCGCACTGCAAGTTTTACATGACGTTGAGAGGTCAGTGGCAGTTCTGAGCACTTTATTGGCCTCATACTGAGCCACAGGGCTTTGTAATCCTTCCTCTCCAACAGGGATATGCAATGTTTGTAGCAGAGAATCAAGGCACTCCAGAGCACCATAACTACAACACTTCATTGCAGTGGTTATAGAGAAGAATAAATCATTCGGCATCTCTAGTGGGCTCAGATGATCCAGACTCCAAGCTGTGATGTCACTGAAGCGCCCATTAATATTTGGTTGCCTAATTCACTCTTATTGGAAGCATCTATCACTATTGGGGTTCACCAGAGATGCTTCATGGAGAGCTACCTAACTTAAAGGAATAGTATAGTGCTGGAATAGATATTTAGGCCCCCTGTCCCCCTTAGAGTGGAGATAAAAGGTATTAAACTTACCTTTTCTCCATCGCAGCGCTGGTCTCTGCATGACTAGCCCTTCCTTCATGGCAGAGATTTTCAACCTTGACAATCTCAGCCAATCCAATGCTTTGAATCAATGCATCTATATGAGAAGCGTGCCGCGTCTCTTTGCAAAGAGGAGGTCCTGCATATTGTGCAGCACTGACCCAGGAAGCACCACTAGTGGTTGTCTGAGTGACTGCACCTCGAAAGTGTTACAAACCAGCAATGTAAATATTGCTTTTCTCTGAAAAGGCAGTGTTTACATTGATAAGCCTGCAGGAATAGGCTACAGTCACCATAACAACTATATTAAGTTATATACCGTACATTAAGCTGTATATGTTCATTAAGTTGTATATGTACATTAAAGGACCACTATAGTGCCAGGAAAACATACTTATTTTCCTGGCACTATAGTACCCTGAGGGTGCCCCTACCCTTAGGGTCCCACTCCTGTCGGGCTGGATGGAGAGAAAGGGGTTAAAAACTCTCCATTCTCCAGCGCCGGGGACTCTCCTCCTCCTTTCCCGTCATCAGCTGAATGCGCATGCGCAGCAAAAGCCACGCGCGTCTTCAGCCAGTCTCATAGAAAAGCATTCTCAATGAAAATCACAGTGAGAAGCGCTTCTAGCGACTGTCAATGAGACAGCCACTAGAGGCTGGATTAACCCTAGTGTAAACATAGCAGTTTCTCTTAAACTGCTATGTTTACAGCAGAAAGGGTTAATCCTAGGTGGACCTGGCATTAAGCTGAAGTGGTCTGGGTGGTCTGGGTGCCTATAGTGGTCCTTTAAGCTGTATATTGTACATTAAGCTGTATGCTGTACACTAAGTTATATACTGTACATTATGCTGTATACCGTAAATAAAGCTGTATACCATACAAAAAGCTGTATACCGGACATTAAGCTGTATACTGTACATTAAGCTATAAACTGTACATTAAGCTGTGTACTGTACATTACGCTGTATACTGTACATTACGCTGTATACTGTACATTACGCGGTATAATGTACATTAAGTTGTATACATACATTACGCTGTATACCATACAATAAGTTGTATACCATACATTAAGCTGTATACCGTACAATAAGCAGTATACTGTACATTAACCTGTATAACAGATTACGCTGTCTACTGTACAATAAGCTATATACCATACAATAATCTTTTTACCAAACATTAAGCTGTATACTGTATATTAAATGTTATACGTACATTAAGCTGTATACGTACATTACACTGTGTGTCGGACCGCCTGCCTCCTGCCTGGGTGCCTCCGTCGAACGATGCTCCTAGTGCTTGCCAAGGACCGTCAGCACCGCACTCGACACCATAACCCCAGCAAGCCCCACAAACCGCAGGGTTTTGCCGTCTTCCGCCTACTTTGGACCCAAGACCAGGATCCCGCTTCCTGTAGGTAGACCTCTCTTAAATCCAGGGAGCAGGAACAGGAATAAGCTCTTACCAGAGCTTAGTGGTTATACCCTGGGGAGTATAGGGATTATAGCAATCCCCAGAGTGTAGATCTCCAATCCTTCAAACATGAGCCAAGACTTCATGAAGGTGCAAGATGATCTGTTTAATGGTGGCCACAGCTTGGCCTTTTATGCAGGTCCTCCAGCAAGGGCTACTCCCACAGGGACCTTGTGGAGGACTGGAATACAATTACAGTGGCCAATCAAAGTACAATACAATATGAAACACTCCCACATAAACAGTAAAATACCTCCTCTCTATCCTGGAGATAATTGGGTTAAGTGGCCGTAGTAAACTGAATTATCTCCAGGTACAGAAAATATTTCTAAGTTAAAACTGTAACAAAAACACATTAAAATACATAACTTATATTTCACCAAACGGAACCCCCACATTCAACCTATTCCCAGATAGTTTGGATCTGAGCGCTCAATATATCCGAACAGCGCTCATATCCCCTGAACACAGTCAAATCGCCATGGAGCCAAAGAGTTTTTTTCACCGACTGTTCGGCAGAAATCTGTCCAGAATTAGCTCCATAGC